ATTTAGTAAAATAAGGACTAGAGGTTTTCTATAAAGTATATTCCAATTCAGTGTATTTATTCTGACAGCAAGTGACTATATTAGAAATAGAGATTTTAAATATCTTTTAAAATGCAATGCAAATATAATTTAATTTAATCATAACAGTAATAACAAGTAAAAACAACATTTAATAAAATGTATTTATTTATGGGAAAATTGATTCTAGGGCACAGTTTTCTACATTAGAAGTATTGTTCCTTCAAAACAATTATTATGCCAGACCTGTCCCAATCTGACCCCTTAGGAAAGAAAAGACTTTGACTCCATTTGGTTAAACAAAAGGGTTCTTTTACTAAGTGTGATGGTTGCAGTAAAGTCAAGTCAGCCCTGAAATCCACACTTACTGGATACAAAAATAAGGTGTAAGTTTGCCCCAAGCCCATCCCTTCACCCGTGACCAGTCCATTTCCAGTCAACCAGAGCTCGCCAAGATGTTTTGAGAACTCTGAGATGTTTGGGGGGCAATCCACATATTTCTCAGGGTGCCAGGCTGTGGGAAGCTGGTACAAACTGGATCTAGCTGCTGTGGTCCTTTTCACCTGTCATTTCCCCCTCCTGATTTCCTATCATGTACACAAAAGCTTTATTGTCCTTTCATCCTTCTCCTTTCATCCTTCTCCTCCCCCCTCTTGTTTTTATGGCAGGATGCATGTGAGGCCCCCCAAGCTGAGATAGGAAGATCTGACAGTCTGCCCCCTTGACAGAGACATTAGTCCTGCAAAAGAAAATGAGAGGGCAGGCAGACATACACAAAATTTCCCAATTAGTAAACAGTTTGATGCAGCTTATCTGAATATTGATCATGGAATTTTTAAAGCAATTTGGAGGCTTCAATATGTTGGGAGTTTACCCATTCAGTCAACTGAGAGGGGAAAGTCTTTTCAGGCTACCAAATACTGAGTTTTCCCTCAATGTATATGAGAGTCCAAAATGTCTTTGACTTCAAAGTGCTGCTCTCCCTTGATCATAATGGGGTCAGGAGATTGTTGCAATTCAGGACACAGGGAAGATGTGATTTCAGGTTTCTTTTTTTAAAAAAATATGTTTTATTGATTTTTAGCATACACCTTAATATTCGGTAAACAACACATTGTTAGTGTTTAAAAAACAATAACAATTAATTTCTATAATTCTATAGTACATATAATAGCTTTACTCAATTTCCTCTTCTTCCAATATCCTCTTTTGCCAACCTTAAATTAATACAGATCTTATTTAAATAAATGACAATTAAATATAGACATTTTTCTCATGTGTCTGCAAATAATAACCACATCAGTACAAAGCATCTTTACATTGATCATCTTAATTGCCTCATCATAAATCCTGTTTACAAAATTCTTATTTAAATTTGTTTTCCCCACAATATTCAAAGCATTCTTACCAGTTAAGATTTTCTCAAAATTAGTTACACTTAAGTATTTAAGTCTTTTTTATCATACAAGCCATCACATTTTTATATTTCTTATATCTTAAAAAAAAAATAAGGAAAAAAAAGGCAAAACAGAGAAAACATTTCTTATTTATATAAACCATCCCAACATTTTTATATTTCTCATGTCAAAAAACCAAACACAAAAGAAAAAAGAAAGTAGACATACTATGTTACTTGAGGGGTTCATCCCTCTTAAGCTAATCTTCATTTATATTCAAAATCTCTCTATTTCTTTAACAAATGTTTAATTCTCAAATATTCCCTCTGGTAATTTCCATCATCTAATTTCTTAATTCTCACTTTAGCCTTTTTTTTGCCCATCTTTCCTGTTCAATATGCTTCACTGAATCAAAGAATCTTCCCATAATCTTATAAATGTTGTTGCAGATACAAAAGGCAAAACAGGTAAGATGTTTTTATAGGAAGTTTTGCCCCTTCGTATTCATTGAAAATCTTTTCCTTTCTTTCTTTCTTGATTTTATTTATTATTTTTTGCGTCTCAAACTCTCGGAGTTCTCCTGGCAAAATCCATTTTGCCAAATCTTTTTTCTTGTCCTCAAACTTATTTTGTAATATTAAAGTGTAGCTTGTCTTTTCCATGTCCAGAATTTCCTGTAAATTTTTTCCATCTGTGTTAAGTCATACTTCCTTGTGTTGTTAAATTCCATCTTAAAATCTCTCTCCGTCTCATATTCAGTTGTCTGTTTTTTCTGCTCACTCTCTATTTTTATTTTCTGAGAATTTTTATGTTGTAAAGTTAAATTGGAAATGTGTTCATTTATGTTTTCAAAGTTATTTTTAATTTCCTCATGGTTTGAGATTATTGTTGTTTGGATTAGTTGCAACATAGCATAGATCTCCTTCTGGAAAGTATCTGTTTTTTCTTGGTATATTTTTTCTGCAGATCTCTGATTTTCCATGATAGGCAAAAATTAGGATTTTCCTTTCTCTGCAGACAGCTTTAGAGTCACAGTTGAGTTAGTATTTGTAATCCAGAAAGGTCAATTCTTTTTTTTCTTAGAATTTATAATTCTCACTTTGTAGATAGCCCAAAATGTTTTCTTTTTTTCTTTTTTGTCACAACTGTTATTAAGACACTGATGGTCATCCAAATCAAATTTATCTTTTCCTGGGCTTTGCCAGTCCCTGTAATAGAGCAACTGCTGTTGTATATTTTTATCCACTACTAGATGTCAGCACCAGTTCTTTCAGTTCTTTTCAGTAATTGACAATTATTTACTTCTATTTTCATGATATAAAAGGAAAATCTTAACAGATTCCACCAATTTCAAACTTACCTAAATTAAGTCTTATATTCCTTTCATTTCAATATATTTCTGTTACCCCTGAAAAGTTTAATTCACTGCCTCCATCTCCTTCTCACTTTCGGAGGCTTTTTGCTTTTTGCTTCTTGGGGTTTTTCAATTTTCAAGTAGAAGAGAGAAAAATCACAGTTCTTACCCAATTCTGAACACGTTGTTTACAGTCAGCTTGAAGTAGTACTTTTGGACTTTGGTTGCTTGTAGCTTGGGCTAGACTCAGAAGTTAAGCTAGCCTTTCTCCTGCCGGTTTCTGGAGGGCTTTCCCCAAACCGATCAGTTCAACTGCCATCTCTCTGCAATCGATGGGACTTCCCCCCTTCTGTGTTGCCTCTAAGAGGCAACTTCAGGTCCATTTAGGGTCCCCTGGCAGGAAGAAATCAGCCATAGAGTGCAGAGCCCCGCAATCCCTCAGCTGCTGCACTACTGCGCAAAATTGGAAGCCTGTGATTTCAGGTTTCAGTAGGCTACAATGAAATACCGGGTGTACCTGTCTGAGTGTTTTTGGCAGTTCAAGTTCTGCAGTTAATGGATTAATAATCCCCTTGATGGGGAAAGGTCCAACGTATTTCAGCCTCAATTTCTTTGTCAGTTGTCTAGATTGTTGGAATTTGGTAGAAAAATAGACCTTGTCTTCCCCCTTTAAGTCCTTTGACTTGATGCATTTTTTATCAGCCTGCTTTTTGTATGCCTCCCTAGCTTCATCCAAAGCTTTCGTCACCATTAGCCAGGTGTTCTGTAACTGGGCCACCCAATCTTTCAGCAATGCAGTTAATAGAGTGGCCTGAGGTAATTCAGGTATAGTGTCAAGATTGAATTACTATGAGACCTGCTAGCTCAGACAGGTCAAACACAAGGCCTGCAGGCTGGATCAGACCTGCCATGTGGTTGTGTCTGGCCTGCTGACCTGCTCTGGAAACAACAAAGGACTGGCCTGTCGCACCTCAGCCTGGCCCAGGCTGACTGGGCACTGATCTACAACCTGGTGCCAGCCATGAAAGCTAAATTGTTCTCAGCCTTAGATCCAAGAAGCAGCCCTGGAACCAGCGATGGGCACCCCTGTCCCACCCCCTGGGTGTGTGCGCCAGAAGCGGTGAGCAGGCAGAGTCCAGCATCCCTGCTGGTTGTCTTGCCCCAGACTGACTTCACCCAGGACATCGGCGCTGGCCGTCTCCTGTGCGCACACCCAGGGGGCAGGGCAGAGACAGTGGGGCATCTCCCCCTCCCACCAGCACCTCCATGGCCCGCTCGCTGACCTAGCCTCACAGCCACAAGGCTTCCCTTTCACTGGGACTGCCCCGGCCCCTTGGGATAGTGACGGCTGGCGGCAGCATGGACACCAGCAGCACTTGCAATTTATCCCCCTCCCATCACCTCTTCCTGAGCACGGAGAAAGAGATGGGAAGGAAGGAAGGAAGGAAGGAAGGAAGGAAGGAAGGAAGGAAGGAAGGAAGGAAGGAAGGAAGGAAGGAAGGAAGGAAGGAAGGAACTTGGTTGGAGATGCTCCCATTCATGCAGTTCTGCTTCAATCCTGGATCCATTGAGACTTGGCCTCAAAGGAGAAAGCAATTTTGTGTTTTCTTTTGTCACAGACAGGACTTTATTGGCAATCCAAGTTAACATTGGTATTCTTGAATTGTGAACTCTTAGGAAAGTATCCTCTCCTTGTGTGTTGCAAACTGCCATTTCCAGTGGGGAAAACAGGACAAAGCAGAGTGGAGAAAAATATTTTCCTTTGGTATATTTCCAGTCTGAATTAGACCATGGCAGGGTCCCTAGAGGAGAGCTCTTTTAAGGACTATGTATTAATAGAAAAGCAACTAACTTATCTCTGTTCCTAACTGCTAAAGCTATTGCACATAAAACACAGAGATGCTCTGATCAACTATCACAGCCACCATTTTGACAGTTTTGCTGTACTGTTGTCTGTGGGATAAACTGAGCCTGGTTTGTTCTCAGTCTTTTAAGTGGCCACAAACTACTAGCAAATGTGGCATTTGATCACAAGGCAAGAAGGCATCAAGAAATGTTTCCCCTTTTGCATTTGAGCATCCAAGAAGGGATAGGAAAGGAGAAAGGGAAAGAGGACAAACAAAAAGAAGGAAAGAGGGGAAGGAAGAAGAAGAAAAGGAGAATAAAGAGGGAAGGAAAAAGAAGAAAAAGGGGAAAGGAAGGAAGAGTATAATGAGAGGGAGGAAGGGTCTAAGGGAAGTCCTGCCTTAGCACTTGGCCATGAGCAGCCCTGCTGCCCTTTCGCCATCCCCTTGTCCCCTCCTCCTGACATCTCCTCGTGGTCTCCCATCCTATCTCTGGGGATGCTTTGGGAAAGGCTGGACTGGGCACTTGCCCTCCATTGCCCAGGGCTCTGGGCAGCCAGCATCACTGGGATCCTCTGCATGGTCTGAGAGGGACAGCAAGGCTCCTCTGATGGACAAGGGTATGCTGTTCGCCCTGGTCTTGCCTTCCTTGGCTGGAGACAATGGATCCCCTCAGCCCCTCCTGGACCATCATAGGTGCCTCCCATCACAAGCAACGTTGAACTGACCATGCCCACCCTGGCCACGCCCACTCCCACTATGCCCACGCCAGCCATACCCATGCTGGCCCCCCCAAGGTCAACCACAACCATGATGCGGCCCTCAATGAAATCGAGTTTGACCCCTGTGCTATCTAATCAACTTACCATAGGAAAAGGGGGAGGAGTAGAAAGCACAGGGAGAAAAGAGGATTCCAAGAAGCCATTCACAGACCGTGAAAGCCTGCAGGAATGCCAAGGTCATCAAGGTGCTTGATGGAGAAGTGGACTGTTTCCATAACAAGCCAAATTTCTATGATTGGACAATGTGGGCACCTAGTGAATGGGAGCAAGGGAAGCTATTGCTTAACTAAGAAGTCTTTCATGCAGAAAAAACAAAGCTGGTTTTGCTTCTTCAATTCTGAGATGTGTATTCAATAAAATTTTATCTTTTGTGGCACTCAAAATCCTTGAAGATTCCTTTTTTGGGGTTCACTAGTCAAACAGTTGACATTAAACCAGCTCTCTACGTTATGTATGCAACCTATTCGGATGCTTCTGAAAGGATTGTAGCATAGTGATGACAGGAACTGAGAAAAAGAAGACGCCTGGGGTGGTCCCTCCCCAGGAGGTACTGGCATTGGCTCAGGTAAACTCTGGGACGTTGCCAGTGGTAACAAAGTCCAAAGTGAGAGCTGAGAAGATGGAGCAACTGCCAATATGAGAAGAGGGGACCATGACCAAAAGCCCAATGGACAGGTGATGTGGGGAAAGCTGCTGAGATGGAGTTCCCCCTAATCCCACCAGGGGTTGCAGTAACCTGGGGGAAGCAAATGGAAGGTCAAGAGGGCTGAAGAATGGGAAGAGCCAGCAAAGTGGAGACCCTGACCATCTCCCGCAGCCCTCTGGTGGAGTAGCAGTGGAAGACGTTTGTCAGGATGGAGATGCGAGGAGCAGTGCTGGAGAAATCCTCAACCCAGGAAACAGTGCTTGAGATGGGGCAGGCTTCAGTGACTTCATCCTCTTCTCCACCTCACCCAATGGTGCTAAGTCGGGTGTGCCAGGGGAGGCAGGAAACCAGGGGATGGATAGGGCCCTACTGGCTCCAGCCCATGCTGCCCCGCAAGTCATGGGGATGCCACTTGGCTACATGCTGGTCTGTGATGACCATGAGCCACCATCTTTGAAAGCCACATTTGACAGGTGGCCAGAGAAACTTGCTTATTTTCTGAACCAAGTGTGGATCTACCTGGAGTGGATGAAGGGGCCTGTGTGAATGCCATAGCTGCAAATCTGGAGGGAGAAGCTGCTGAATGGATGGTGGTGCTCCATGATGAGGGGGCTCTTTGAACTGGGAAATGTTAAAATCTTCCAAAAGGGGCTCTGAGCCAGATTCAGGGACCCCACACAAACCTTCCAGGCGGAATCCAGAATCAGCTCTGTAAAGCAGGGTACATTCAGGAGTTTTGCAACCTGGCTGGGGGGCTGAGATGGGGGGGGGGAACTAATGCTGACTGGGTAGTGGCTGGTAACATTAAGGCCAACAGATTAATAAGAAGATTTCATGCCAAATATTCTCAGCGTCCTAAGAGATGATTTATATATAACTGTGCTTAATTTCTCTCATATTTACCCTTCTTTCAGGGGGCTGGCATGTCAAGATTAAATCGCTATGAGACCTGCTAGCTTCTATCGCTAATCAACTTGCCATAGAAAAGAGGGGAGGGGTAGAAATGCAGGAAGGAAAGGAGATTCCAAGAAGCCGTTCACGGACCGTGAGAGCTTGCAGGAATGCCAAGGTCACTAATGCAGATGCTTGATGGAGAAGTGGACCATTCCCATAACAAGTTGAAGTTCTATGATTGGACAATGTGGGCATCTGGTGACTGGGGGCAAGGGAAGCTATTGTTTAACTAAGCAATCTTTCGCATGGGAAAACCAGAGCTGGTTTTGCTTCTTCAGTTCCAAGATGTGTAATCAATAAAGTTTTATCTTTTATGGAACTCAAAAGCCTTGAAGATTCTTTTTTGGGGGAGGGGTTTTCACTAGTCAGACAGTTGAAAGATAGATACAAAGTCTTGTCCTATGGCCACTTTAAATGGAGTGAACCCACTGCTACTTTGCACTGAGATATTCAGGTGACCTCTACAAAAGGGAGGAGGTCCGTCCAATTGTCCTGTTGGTAATTAATATAGCATCTGAAGTACTGTTCCAGGATGCCATTGGTCCTCTCGTACCCCCCGTTAGTAGCTGGATGATGTAAGGAGCCGAATCCCTGAGTGGTCCCCAAAGGTTTTAGGAACTCCTGCCAAAGCCAGGAAGTGAATTGGACTCCGTGATCTGAGATTATTCTTTCTGGAGCACCATGTAGCCAATAGATGTGCTGCACTAATACTTTAGCCAAAGCATGTGCTGAGGGGATTTTTTGGCAGGGTATAAAGTGCACTTGCTTGGAGAACAGATTATCAACCAGATCACTGTATTCCTCGAGTTTTCAGGCAGTTCTACAATAAAGTCCATTGATATCTCTTTCCATGGGGCTTTGGGCTCTGTTACTGGCTGGAGAAGCCCAGAAATTGTCCCTTGTTGTCTCTTGGTAGAGGCACAAATGGGGCAGGTAGCCACATAGCTCTTTATGTCCTTTTTCAGTGACAGCCACCAAAATTGCTGCTTGATTAGGTATAGGGTTTTTATGAAGCCAAAGTACCCCTCCACTTTTGAATCATAGCTTTTTTGTAGAACCATTAATCGTTGGTTTTGTGGGACATATAGTTTAGCTCTCACTCAGGCTAGACCATCTTGCATTGTACATTCTCCAGCATGATCAATGGAGAAACCACAGATGGGTTGAATCCACAAGTCTTCCTGCCCTAGAGACTAAGTCAATCAACCTTTGCCACACCTCTCTCCTTGGACTAGGATCCCAAGTCATGATTTAGTCTTCGCCCAAGAGAGACATGGCAAAGCTTGGCTCTTAGTCCTAGAGCAGAAACATGATCAGGTTGTACCTTTCCTTTTTGTTTTTTGGCTTGTTTTTTCCCCATTCCCATCTCTGCGCTGATTTCAGCACAGTGTGAACCGGCTGGTTTCACAGGACTTGCAGGCTTCGATGGAAGCCTCGAGCCTCATTTAGTTGGGAAGACCGGATTCTTTGCGGGTGTTTGGACGCTGTGTGGGGTGCCTTATAGGATCGTCCTGTTTGTTTCTGTGCTCAGTTTAGGGAGGCTTTGAGTACATTGCCTTTTTCACAGTCTACAGCGCTCATTTCGGAGCGAATTACAGCTGCTTGATCTGTTGTTTTTTGGTAGCTTTCAGCTCCAGCCTCAGCCTTCCTTTCTCATTCGGCAGCAGCCACCATTTTGAACACCGCACGTGCCGTTTTTCTGCTGGGGGAGAAAACCTTATTATTCAGAGCCATCTACTGGGGAGAACAGCTTCTTTGTGAGATTGCAGTTTAGCTTAGTTTGCCCAGCAATTATAGCAGCGATCGGCAAATTCAGCCACAACATTTAAGCACAGAAATCAGGGCTGCCTTAGCGGTGGCCATTTTTAAGGCTGCGGAATACGAAGCAACACAGCAAAGGAATCAATGGTGGATTGCATTATTGGCAACTTACTGCATAGTGATCGCTTTGCTTACTGACCACTTTGCTTCAGTCAAAAAAGAAAGAAAGAAAGAGAGTACAATTCAAGGCTATGAACAAGGCCTACAACAGCCCATTTTAGCCCTGCACAAGGCCCTCAATTGAGTATTGCTCACCTCTTACTCTGACTCTACAAAGTCTGCTGGCCATACCATTAAGTTGGTCTTGCTGCCACCAACATTGCTAGTGTGCTGGCTGTTACCATTAAGATGGTCTTGCCACCACTAATGGGATTGCATGCGGGCTGGCCGTTACCATTAAGTTGGTCTTGCCACCACTGCATGATTGACCAGAACACTGCCCGTGCCACTATTGGTCCTGCTGCCATCAGGAGCTTTATCTGTGGGCTGACCGTACCATTAAGTTTGTCTTGCAGCCACTGCTAGCTTGAGAATACTGGCTTTCCATTAAGTTGGCCCACAACCTTTTCCCTACCCATATAAAATCTAATAAAATATATTTTTTTAAAAAAGTTGGCCCTCAGCCACTATCTGTACTGTGAATATATTGGCTAGTATATAGTAGCTGTTGTACTCATAGGGAGGGGGTCATCTTCCAGTTTCTTCAGATTATCATATATAGACCAGCCTAAAGACCTAATTTGCCCATCATAGATTCGTTCTACTTGGACCGTGAGGTAGGTCTTAGGGTCTTCACCAGTCCCCTCAATTCCAAAGCCATATAAACAAAGTGTCTCCCTGTAGGAAGGTCTACAAAACATTCATCACAAGGAGGGACGTGGTCTGAAGGGTAAGGTCGTGGGTCCCCCAAGAGATATTCATCACCACTTACTCCCTTATGATCTCCCTCCCTTGTGGAAAGACCCTGTCCCACAGAGGTTGATACAGGTTCTGGAGAACTTAAAGTGGGGGATGGGGTGACAGATCATCGGTGACAGATCATCGGTGACAGATCATCGGTGACAGATCTCCCTCAGCCAAGGGGTTCTGCAACATCCAGAGCCATAGTGGCTTCAGTTAACTGCCTGGCATTTGAACGGCGGCTCCTGACACAAGAGTCCTACTTGTCAGACGTGATTACTATGATTCAGGCTTCAAGAAGGCATACAACTAACAGAATTTATGATTCCACATGGAAAAATTTCTGTCACTGTGTGGAGAGCAACAGTTGGATCCATCGAGGATCAATTATTCCAAGGATTTTGGATTATTTGTTGGAGGGACTCCAGAAGGGCTTGGTGCCCAATACAATCCACAGACAAGTGACTGCTCTGTCCATGGTGCTTATGTGTGGCAATTCAGAGTTCTTGGCTCAGCATCCCATGGTGCGCTCCTTTGACAAGGGAGCAACCACCACCAAACCGACAGATATCCCTATTGGGATCTGTCCAAGGTCTTACAGGCCTCACTTCCCCTCCATTTGAGCCTGTCAGAACCTGCACTCTATGGTTCTTGACACTTAAAGTCACTTTCCTAGTAGCCGTCACATCAGCTAGGCGCATTTCTGAACTGGCAGCTCTTTCTATCAGAGATGACTTATGCATCTTTCATACTGACAAGGTAGTCCTATGATTTGATCCCTCCTTCGTTCCCAAGATCAATTCATTGTTTCACAGGGCTCAGGAGGTGGTGCTACTAGATTTTTGCCCTCAGCCATCTCACGACTTGGAACATAAATGGCATACCTTGGATGTTCGCAGAGTTTTGTGTCATTATATCAAGCAGACTGCATCCTTTCGCAAATCTGAAGCCCTCTTTGTTTCATTTCAGCCCTCTTCAATGGGCCAGAGGGTGACTGATTCTACCATTGGCAGGTGGATTAGGGCTTGCAGAGCGGAGGCATATCAGATGCACTCCTTGCCAGTTCCAAGTCAAATCACCACGCATTCCACTTGCAGTGCTGCAACCTCAGTAGCATGGGTGACACAGGCATCAATTGAAGAAATCTGTAAGGTAGCGACATGGTTGTCACCTTCTCCCTTCGTGAGGCACTATAACTAGATAAGTTTGCCTCTGCTGATGTCTCATTTGATAGAAGGGTGCTCCAAAGAGTAGTACCAGGTAGTGGGACACAGGCCCAGACTTCTTCCCACCCATAGGGACAGTAAGGCTTTGGTATGTTCCATCTGTGAATTCTCCATCGATCATGCTGGAGAAGGGGCGTTGTCTTACCTGAACGCCTTTTCTCAGCATGATGATGGAGAATCCACTCCCCCCCTAATAAGGTCCGTCAGGTCCTGTGTCAGGGGTATTTGAGCCACCACCTTGAAATGTCATCAACAGCTGCGCCTTTGTCATGACTGGGGATCCTAGTCCAAGGAGAGAGGCATGGCAAAGGTTGATTGATTTAGTCTCTAGGGCAGGAAGACAAGATCAACCCATCTGTGGATTCTCCATCGTCATGTGGGGAAAAGGCGTTCAGATAAGACAATGCCCCTTCTCCCTTGTACATTTGGAAACACTCATCTTGCTCCAAAGCTGCCTTTAAATCATCAGCTACTTGGGTTTTCATTTTGGCTTGTCCCCAGGTGGGCCCACCAATTGCCGGCTTAATCACCTCCGGCTTTGAACTATTGTATTGTGGCAGCCTGGATAAAGCATCTGCTAGAAAGATCTTCCCCACTGGGAGGTAACTTAACATGAAGTTGAATTGTTAAAGCACTGGGCACAGCGAGCCTGTTTGGGCGATAGTCTCAGTGTGCGTGCGTGTGTGTGTGTGTGTGTGTGTGTGTGTGTGTGTGTGTGTTAATCCTTCTAAATTTTTATGGTTAGTCCATACTTCAAATAGAGTTTTCCCTCCTTCTAGAAAATGCCTCCAAGTTAAGAATGCCCAGCACACCATATAGACTTCCTTCTCCTAGACTGCCCATTTCATTTAGCTTTTTAGAAATCTAGGCACAGGGCTGTAGGATCCCTTGCTTCTTTTCTTGTAAAAGCACTGTGCCCACTGTGACATCACTGGCATCAGCCACAATAATGAAGGAGACATTGGGGTCTAGGTGTTTCAGCACCAACTCCACTGCAAAGAAGTGAACCCAGCCTGGCATTCCATAGTCCACTTAAGTGGCTGATTGAGTTTGGGTTTCCCCTCCTCTTTTGTCTTTAGCAGATTGGTGATGGGGAGAGCTATCTGGGAAAATGAGGGAATGAACTGGCAATAAAAGTTCGCAAATCCCAGGATGCATTTTGTTTGCTTCTGGGTGCAGGAGGAAGCCCACTCTAGCACTTCCTGTACCTTTTCAGGATCTATATCCCTTCGTAGGAGATACAGTAGCCTAGATAGTTGATTTTGTTGTTGTTGTTGTTAATTGCGAAGTCGTGTCCGACCCATCGCGACCCCATGGACAATGTTCCTCCAGGTCTTCCTGTCCTCTACCATCTTCTGGAGTCCATTTAAGTTCACACCTACTGCTTCAGTGACTCCATCCAGCCATCTCATTCTCTGTCGTCCCCTTCTTCTATTGCCCTCAATCTTTCCCAGCATTAGGCCCTTCTCCAGTGAGTCCTTCCTTCTCATTAGGTGGCCAAAGTATTTGAGTTTCAACTTCAGGATCTGGCCTTCTAAAGAGCAGTCGGGGTTGATCTCTTCTAGGACTGACCGGTTTGAACGCCTTGCAGTCCAAGGGACTCGCAGGAGTCTTCTCCAGCACCATAGTTCAAAGGCCTCAATTCTTTGGCGCTCAGCCTTTCTTATGGTCCAACTTTCACAGCCATACATTGCAACTGGGAAAACCATGGCCTGGACTATACGCACTTTTGTTGGCAGGGTGATGTCTCTGCTTTTTAGTATGCTGTCTAGATTTGCCATAGCTTTCCTCCCCAGGAGCAAGCGTCTTTTAATTTCTTGGCTGCAGTCCCCACCTGAGGTGATCTTGGAGCCCAGAAAAATAAAATCTGTCACTACCTCCATTTCTTCCCCATCTATTTGCCAGGAATTGAGAGGGCCGGATGCCATGATTTTGGTTTTCTTAATGTTGAGTTTCAAGCCAACTTTTGCACTCTCCTTCTTCACCCGCATCAAGAGGCTCTTTAGTTCCTCTTCACTTTCTGCCATTAGCGTAGTATCATCTGCATATCTTAGGTTGTTGATATTTCTCCCGGCAATCTTAATTCCAACTTTTGTTTCATCTAGCCCTGCCTTTCTCATGATGTGCTCTGCATATAAGTTAAATAGGCAGGGCGACAGTATACAGCCTTGCCGGACTCCTTTTCCAATTTTGAACCAATCAGTGGTTCCGTGTCCAGTTCTCACTGTTGCTTCTTGACCCGCATATAGGTTTCTCAAGAGACAAATAAGATGGTCTGGTATTCCCATCTCTTTAAGAACTTGCCACAATTTGTTGTGATCCACACAATCAAAGGCTTTTGCATAGTCAATGAAGCAGAAGTAGATGTTTTTCTGGAACTCCCTAGCTTTCTCCATGATCCAGCGTATGTTGGCAATTTGATCTCTAGTTCCTCTGCCTCTTCGAAATCCTGCCTGTACTTCTGGTAGTTCTCGATCCACATACTGCTGGAGTCTAGCTTGTAGGATTTTAAGCATAACTTTACTAGCATGTGAAATGAGTGCAATGGTGCGATAGTTTGAACATTCTTTGGCATTGCCTTTCTTTGGAATTGGAATGTAAACTGACCTTTTCCAATCCTGTGGCCACTGTTGAGTTTTCCAAATTTGCTGGCAAATTGAGTGTAGCACTTTTACTGCATCGTCTTTTAAGATTTTGAATAGCTCAGCTGGAATACTGTCACCTCCACTAGCTTTGTTGTTGCTCAGATTTTCTA